TGATGACCCAAAGCTGAAGCTTTTAGTCATCCGACCGAGGACTTCCGCTGGCTTACCGGTTAACCTCTTTAAAAATTATGGTATGATAATAACCATTACTTAGTTATATGTGTAGTTATGTTTACTGCAGTGCTCCTTCATTCTTATGTTCTTATATACACCATTCACTATAACTGTACTCGGTATCTGTGAAATTATTATTATTATTATTATTATTATTATTATTATTATTGTGAATAAATTACCTGCATGAGATTTACAGGGTATTACCTGAATTATTACAGACAAGTAACTTGGGTCATATAAGTGGGACGTAAGTCACAGTAGGTCTCCGAACTGTAACTCCCTCGATGCCCACTTCTTCACCACTCTCACGAAAAGCTAGACCTGACCTTATATTAATAATTACAATATTAAACATTAATACCAATAATGGTAAATTATCAAATAATGTGGACTGTATATGATTAGGCTTACTGGGTACACAAAAGAAATTCGTATCACCACTTATCATTTAATTACTGGATCATAATCATTTTATGGAAATTCACCCTAGCTACCTCTACAACTACGATGTACGATGGCCAATGCAAAAACTACTGTACCTTATGTGTAAGCATCACTTGGCTAAAGTGTGTTGTTGGGAAAGATTCATTGATGTCCTCTATTTTTCCTTCCGAATTGTAAGAGCGTTCCACACTATTTATCCCAGTTCTTCAGCAGGAACGTGTCAGCAATTTCTAGATTACGGACTGAGGCCGATATACACCAATTGACCTTCGAGAATGCCTGATTACATTGCACAATTCAGTCCAGTATTCACACATTAAATTCAATATGGCGTCCCCCTCTGCGGCGTCACTTCCCTGGCTGCTCTGCCTTCCCCTCACTCGAAATTTCTTGAAGGGTCCAAATAGCATCACATTTTAATATGCAATTATATTATTCATTTATATGTTCTAGATTTAGGAAATTATGTAAAAATTTCCACAGTATCAATATTTCAGTACACTTAAAAATTCACACCAAGCTACTTTCGCAACACTCAACTGTAAATTGCCATGGTATCTGTTTCATAGCATCACATGACACTGTACCGACCTATGAATCTTATTGTTATTTCACACCTTCGCAGGGCGAGGTATCTAAATTACTTTCACTGTATAGCCATTTGACTGTTCCATCACCTAATAGGAACTGTTTCTCTGAATCACTGTCTCGAAACACTACGAATTACGTTTTTCCTAACTAGTCACTTCTTGACTGACGAACACTTCCTAACTGGCCTAGCAGGCTGGTTGGTTGGTTAATTGGGTTTCAACTCTATCGACTTCGTGAGGCTCATTAAGGTTGCATGTTGCTTGTTCAACACTAGTCAAGAACACTAATCCTTAAAATAAGTATTAAAGTAAAATATCAGTATACGCTAACCGAGAGATTTATCTGTGAGTGTATGTATGTTTGTACCCCAAGTTAACATCTGTACCTCCAGCTGTAAACATGACCATTCTTTACAGAATGATATATTCTTCAGAAATCAAGCATAGTTTTGACTCTTCCTGACGGAAACCAATTATTATTATTATTATTATATACAGAAAGCGGGTAAATTCAGGGTTGTCAGTTAGTTCAGGGATAACTGTGTCAAAAACTAAAGGTTAAGTGTGACTGAGCTTGTTGTGATTCACAGTAAGTGGACCAACTCCCAGCGCCGGGGACACAGTGCGGTGCCTGAGTGAGAGGACCCAGCAGGCAGTGTGGCTCAACAACGGTGCTGGCAACAACACAGGCGTCCTCCACGTATGTTACCTTACCTTAGCCTCCTCAAGGAAGACCTGACCCGCCACTCTCCACCCAAGCCATATCTTGTTTCATCCAGAGAATACTGAACATCTGACCCATCCTCAAGCCTCACCTTACCTTACTGCACTTAAACCATATGTAAACACTACTACTTAAACAAACACCCTCCCAACACCTACACCCCACACCACCAACACTACTACTGACACAAACACCCAACCCCCACACCACCACTATTACCTACACAACCACACTCCTCGCAGCCAACACCGACCCACTACACACCAAGTTTTATTAGTTGTAATAGCACTAGTAGTACTTTTATTGATATACGTATATGTTAATAATGATAGTACATTAATATGTACTATAATATATATATATATATATATATATATATATATATATATATATATATATATATATATATATATATATATATATATATATATAAGAGAGAAGAGAGAGAGAGCATGATTGTGAGTGATCTTTGAAGACCTGTGAGTTGATGTTTTGTGTTGGTATTGACAGTATGTATTTGAACCTGTGGAGGGGTCGAGCAGCGTGTTGCACCTGCACCGCATGATCATCAAGAGTCGCAACCTGGAAAACCTGGCCATCTACGACATCTCTAGGGAAGAGTTCAAAGACCTACGTTCTACCTACACCTTCACTCTCCTCGGCGGCACCACCACCAGTAAGTTACTCCTGTGTTACACCACCAGTAAGTTACTCCTGTGTTACACCACCAGTAAGTTACTCCTGTGTTACACCACCAGTAAGTTACTCCTGTGTTACACCACCAGTAAGTTACTCCTTTGTTACACCACCAGTAAGTTACTCCTGTGTTACACCACCAGTAAGTTCTGTGTTACACCACCAGTAAGTTACTCCTGTGTTACACCACCAGTAAGTTACTCCTGTGTTACACCACCAGTAAGTTACTCCTGTTACACCACCAGTAAGTTACTCCTGTGTTACACAACCAGTAAGTTACTCCGTGTTACCACAGTAAGTTACTCTTGTTACACCACCAGTAAGTTACTCCTGTGTTACACCACCAGTAAGTTACTCCTGTGTTACACCACCAGTAAGTTACTCCTGTGTTACATCACCAGTAAGTTACTCCTGTGGTACACCACCAGTAAGTTACTCCTGTGGTACACCACCAGTAAGTTACTCCTGTGTTACACCACCAGTAAGTTCCTCCTGTGATAAACCACCAGTAAGTTCCTCCTGTGATACACCACCAGTAAGTTACTCCTGTGGTACACCACCAGTAAGTTACTACTGTGGTACACCACCAGTAAGTTACTACTGTGGTACACCACCAGTAAGTTACTACTGTGGTACACCACCAGTAAGTTCCTCCTGTGGTACACCACCAGTAAGTTCCTCCTGTGGTACACCACCAGTAAGTTACTCCTGTGATACACCACCAGTAAGTTCCTCCTGTGATACACCACCAGTAAGTTCCTCCTGTGATACACCACCAGTAAGTTCCTCCTGTGATACACCACCAGTAAGTTACTACTGTGGTACACCACCAGTAAGTTCCTCCTGTGATACACCACCAGTAAGTTCCTCCTGTGATACACCACCAGTTACTCCTGTGGTACACCACCAGTAAGTTCCTCCTGTGATACACCACCAGTAAGTTCCTCCTGTGATACACCACCAGTAAGTTACTCCTGTGGTACACCACCAGTAAGTTACTACTGTAGTACACCACCAGTAAGTTACTCCTGTGGTACACCACCAGTAAGTTACTCCTGTGGTACACCACCAGTAAGTTACTACTGTAGTACACCACCAGTAAGTTCCTCCAGTGATACACCACCAGTAAGTTCCTTCGGTGGTACACCACCAATAAGTTCCTCCTGTGATACACCACCAGTAAGTTCCTTCGGTGGTACACCACCAGTAAGTTACTCCTGTGGTACACCACCAATAAGTTCGTCCTGTGATACACCACCAGTAAGTTACTCCTGTCATACACCACCAGTAGGTTACTTCTGTGATACACCACCAGTAAGTTACTTCTGTGGTACACCACCAGCAAGTTACTCCTGTGGTACACTACCAGCAAGTTCCTCCTGTGGTACACCACTAGTAAGTTACTCCTGTGGTACACCACCAGCAAGTTCCTCCTGTGGTACACCAGTAAGTTACTCCTGTGGTACACCACCAGTAAGGTCCTCTTGTGGTACACCACCAGTAAGTTACTCCTGTGGTACACCACCAGTAAGTTACTCCTGTGGTACACCACCAGTAAGTTACTCCTGTGGTACACCACCAGTAAGTTACTCCTGTGGTACACCACCAGTAAGTTACTCCTGTGGTACACCACCAGTAAGTTACTCCTGTGGTACACCACCAGTAAGTTACTCCTGTGGTACACCACCAGTAAGTTACTCCTGTGGTACACCACCAGTAAGTTCCTCCTGTGGTACACCACCAGTAAGTTACTCCTGTGGTACACCACCAGTAAGTTACTCCTGTGGTGCACCACCAGTAAGTTCCTCCTGTGATACACCACCAGTAAGTTACTCCTGTGGTACACCACCAGTAAGTTACTCCTGTGGTACACCACCAGTAAGTTACTCCTGTGGTACACCACCAGTAAGTTACTCCTGTGGTACACCACCAGTAAGTTACTCCTGTGGTACACCACCAGTAAGTTACTCCTGTGGTACACCACCAGTAAGTTACTCCTGTGGTACACCACCAGTAAGTTACTCCTGTGGTACACCACCAGTAAGTTACTCCTGTGGTACACCACCAGTAAGTTACTCCTGTGGTACACCACCAGTAAGTTACTCCTGTGGTACACCACCAGTAAGTTACTCCTGTGGTACACCACCAATAAGTTACTCCCGTGGTACACCACTAGTAAGTTATGTGATGCACCACCAGTAACTACCTTGTGTTGTTCACCACCCACCAGTAATTCTTTCTGAGAGGCATCACCATCACCACCACAATCACCACCAGCATCACCAGTAACTCCCTTCTGCATAGTATGTCAGAAATATCAGCTTGGTCTGTAATAACTTTATCACGTACTTGTAGAAATAAAGATTGTTATCATTTATTATTATTATTATTATTATTATTATTTTTTTTTATTATTATTATTATTATTATTATTATTATTATTATTATTATTATTATTATTAAAGATATTTTCAGAGAGCAGGCTAACTGCACTACCCTCCTTCAAGACATTACGAGTGGTGCCAGCAGAGCGACCCAGTCCCCTCACTTTGTTTATTGAGTACAATGCTACTGCAAACACGGAACTTCCTGGCCCGCACCTTTATTATTCTGTGTTGGCAGCCAGAAGACATCCCCCCCTGTCTCTATGCTGTCTAACCCACCTCCAGTACCAGCCTCAACCATCACTCTCAGTACTCTCCCATCACCACTACTGTACTCTCTCATCACCACTACTGTACTCTCTCATCATTACTACTGTATTCTCTTATCACACCCTCTATTGTACCTTCCCATCATCACTGCTGTACTCTCCCATCACTCTATTGTACTCTCTCATCACCACTTCTATTGTACTCTCTCATCACAACCAGAGCTGCAAATATTCCACTTAACATAACACTAAATGGATCACCCATCACAAGACTCACGGAGGGAAATTCCTAGGAATCCACCTAGACAGTAGCCTCAAATTCCAGACACATATACAACAAATTTCCAAGAAAATCTCAAAGACAGTAGGCACACTATGAAAGATATGGTACTATGCTCCACAATCAGCTCTCCTTGCTCTGTATCATTCACTCATCTACCCTTATCTCACATATGGAATTTGTGCATTGGGATCAGCAACATTAAATCGCCTAAGGCTTCTAATAACCCTGCACAAGGCTTCAATCAGAATGATAACAAATTCCCACTCGCGACAGCATACTCCATCTCTATTTAAAAGTCTAAATTTGCTCACCACAAAGACCATCCACATTTATTCATGTGCCTAGTACATACATAGAACAATACACGCAAACAAAAACCCTCGACTCAAACTTCTCATCAACCTTAACAGGACACACGACCATAACACAAGACACAGATCTCTTTTTGATATACCTCGTGTCCATATCACACTGTGTAAACTCTATGCACATAAAGGCCTCCAAAATCTGGAATTCATTACCAGAATATACTAAAGTAACCCGGTCTGAAAATCAATTTAAGACTCTTCTAAAAAAAACACTTTCTCAGGACTAAATAATCAACACTCAATATTTAACATTACCAATAAATCTCCCAATTACTTAAATCTTAAAACTTCAAGACAACATACAGTAAATTGATCATCTTGTTTGTTATACACTGTAATGCGACAAATCTGTACAACTATAATGCTTCAATATCAAAATGTTCAAATTTCATTGTTACAAATACTAAACTGTACTTCATATTGTAAATTGTTTACGGTAATTTTTACCACTGAACCTTTCATTGCTTAGTTAATTTTAAGTTAAATTTAATCCTGTCCATAATGCTCTGCATACAAGCGGCTTTTGGCATGTTCACCCAACTACTGTAATTCCTTGTACAACTGTGTATCATGTCCAGATAAAATATATGAATGGATGAATATGAACTCTGTCACACCTATTGTACTCTCTCATCACACCCTCTGTTGTACTCTCTCATCACCACCTCTATTGTACTCTCTCATCACACCCTCTGTTGTACTCTCTCATCACCACCTCTATTGTACTCTCTCATCACACCCTCTGTTGTACTCTCTCATCACACCCTCTATTGTACTCTCTCATCACACCCTCTGTTGTACTCTCATCACCACCTCTATTGTACTCTCTCAGCATACCCTCTATTGTACTCTCTCATCACACCCTCTATTGTACTCTCATCACACCCTCTGTTGTACTCTCTCATCACCACCTCTATTGTACTCTCTCATCACACCCTCTGTTGTACTCTCTCATCACACCCTCCATTGTACTCTCTCATCACACCCTCTCTTGTACTCTCTCATCACCACCTCTATTGTACTCATCACCACCTCTATTGTACTCTCTCATCATACCCTCTATTGTACTCTCTCATCACCACCTCTATTGTACTCTCTCATCACCACCTCTATTGTACTCTCTCATCACCACCTCTATTGTACTCTCTCATCACACCCTCTATTGTACTTTCTCATCACCACCTCTGTTGTACTCTCTCATCGCACCCTCTATTGTACTCTCTCATCACCACCGCTGTTGTACCCACTCATCACACCCTCTATTGTACTTTCTCGTCACGACCTCTGTTCTACTCTTTCGTCACTACTACCTCGCTCAACAACTACTACTATTGTATGCATATTTACTGTACCCACAGTTACCTACTATCACCACAATCGTCGCGACCAAAACCGGCTACCACCACCTACCTGCCTCTCAACCAGCCTCTGTGGTGGGAGGCCAGCCGGATCCGGCTACCACCACCTACCTGCCTCTCAACCAGCCTCTGTGGTGAGAGGCCAGCCGGATCCGGCTACCACCACCTACCTGCCTCTCAACCAGCCTCTGTGGTGGGAGGCCAGCCGGACCCCGAGTAAATAATAAAACTGAATGTCATGGGAATGCCGTTTGAAGCCTGAATAGATCTATCACTAACAAGATAACATGAACGTAGAAAAGTACGTTTCTATAGAGC